GGTATCCGCTGACTAGTATCACTTGACCATATCGCGGGCTCAGGTGTTGACCCATCAAGGCCAAGTATTTTTTAGACGTTATCCGCTGGCAAGTTACTAGTTTTCAAATGATCGCAGGCTCAAGTATAATTTTTTTTAAAATTCATAGGAAATATGTTGTGCTTATGTGCCGCACACTTAAAATTTTGATTTCAAACTGACCTCGGATGCGAAAATTCAGCCAGCTATGTAAAGAAGACATGTACAGTTGCTTTTAACCGTCCGTCCGCACCACAGGAAAACCAGTGCTTACTTTCACACTTTCTAACCTCTTTGGGGGCCCAGGTGAAAACTGATTGCTCATCCATGTTGTGATCAATCATCGATAATTTCAATGGATCAATTGACAGCTGTCAAAACAAGGTATCCGCTGACCAGTATCACTTGACCGTATCGTGGGCTCAGGTGTCGACCCATCGAGGTCGAGTACTTTTTGAAGTTCTACGCTGACCAGTTACTAGTTTTCAAATGATCGCAGGTTCAATTTTTTTAAGAAGTCATATGAAATATGTTGTGTTTATGTCACTATGGCCCCACACTATTAAGATTTTGATAGCAAGCTAACCTTAAAAGCGAAAATTCAGCCAGTTATTTAGAAATACAAGCGGGCAAGACCTTTTCTTGCCAAGGTCACGCTTGGTCACGCTCTACGTCCAATTTTTATGCTCTGATTGGCCAAAATTTGACAGGTGAGTTCATGCGGAAAATTTATGCAGCATCTTGAATCTTGTTTACTTTGACGGCTGAAGCTGACAGAGTTTTGAGTCAACTTGTGATGTTTTTAACTGTCTTTTTCTACTGGATGTATAAAAATGAAATACAGCTGCTATCAAGAGTATTCTGTTATTCATGACTAATTTGTTTATTGGTGTTTTTTGGTTGAGAGAAGCGTCGCTTGTCAAAGTCGGAAATCCGAATTTGGATGGCATCGTTTTCGTTTTTCACCTTGCTTGAAAAATCTGAAGCGATACTGGCCTTACTTGATACCTTTCAGGAGCTGCATCTCGAATGGTAAGCCTGAGTAATGATTGAATTTCATGTTTGTTTTTTAAATCTAATTTAATGAAGTCGAGCGTTATGCGGCTATTTAGTTTATGCACGTTTGTAAGGTTTGAGACAATGATCTGACGGACTATCAGGTTTGATTAAGCTTACAGAACTTTAGAAAGCCTTTGGACATTTTCTCACCGCAAATAGAAAGAAAACGTTTCAAAGAATACGTAGTTATAATCCTAGCTGTAAAAGAAAGCTTTGAGCGATTTTCTTGCCTCGAGTTCATCTTTGAAAAAAAGCAAACACCGGGAAGCCGGCTTTGATTATAACAGTGTTATAAGCTTGAAGACTTACGATTTTTAGAGACACGTTAATACTTGTCTTCGTGAATGAGAATTGTCGTATCTGTATATGTTTCACCGAATTATATTTGTTTTATTGATTGTTAGTAGTCTCTATTATAATTTTAATCGCTCTGCCGTTTGTTTGCAGTCGTTCAGTGTCAACATCGCTTGCACGAGTACTCAAGCTGGCGCGCGAATCAAACGCTTTTGAAGATTACAAATCGATAAAATAAACAAAAAAAATAGAACAATAAACATAATAAATTCTTTATTGTGTTGGAGTGAAACTCTATTAATGTTCATTCAAACAGTCGACCACAGCTCATGACACTGCAAAAGTGAGAACCGGCTGGCCGTATAGGTGATTTTGGAAATTATTTTAACGGTTTAGCTAAAAGCACAGGCGTGCTTCGATCGTCCTGAATATTGAGCGAGTGTAATTTGTATTGCAAAATTGTGAAATACTGCATTCTGTCCGAGGTCTGCAGTATGATAAAAACAGTGCCTCATAGTACTGTTTCACCTCAGATGTGATGTACAAATGGTAAAAAGGTACACGCACCCAGATTTGTTGGCAAGATTTTGTAAAGTAAAATTGTCGAACGCAAAAAATTCGGCCTGATTTTTTTTTCCAGGCCTAATTAATCTACGGCGATCAAGAGCCTGCCCATTATGGCTCTTAAATGTGATGGAAGATGGTTGCTATTTTTTAGGTGTACATATGAGGCTGTAAACTTGATTTACGATTTGGGTTACTCTTGGGTTCTTTGCAAATTATTTTTCTCTAAAATCACTTAGCCTCTCCTTCAAAAGTCACGTGAATGTGCTGTAAAGTTCTCTGAATTTTGGAATACAAGTTTATTGTTTGATTTAAATCATAAATTTATTAATGGGAGCTTCGCTTTTAGCCCTGGCTAAGTCTATGTATTAGCATTGATATTGAAAGTCTAAATTTCATGACAAATAGCAAGGTGAAGAAGTCGAGTAGCGAGCGGTTATTTTGAGGGAAAGCTTGACTTCGAGATCTTGTCTCAGGCGCAGTAGTGGTATGAGAAGTTATAATTCTATTCTCCTTTGCGGCTCGAGTTGCTACGTCAAAGACGTTTTAAGGGTTCTTTTAGCTC